CATACATGTGAAACCTACTTTTTTTCAAAATTCCCAGGCATATCGAAGTTATACAGATTTTTAGTTTTGACAATTTTTAGTTTTTTTTTAATCATTTAAGAACTGCTAATTTTTTTCCAATTTTTAAAACTATTTTAATATATTTGTAATTATCCAACTTTTCTCTAATTTAACCTTGTATCTGAAGGTACACCCTAAATAAATAAAACTGTTTTAGAAGAAAATATAAAGTAACATTTGTTTTCAATAAAAAGCATTCGTTACTCGCGCGGCGTCTATCAGACGCCACTGAATCTATTAGTTATAGTAACTTTTGAAACGAGATAAATAGGGACTTCCCCGGCCATGTACCTTTCTTAAGTGGATAGTAGAGTAATCTGCGCTCAAAAAAAAAAACAATAATTTAGTAGGTAGATTTAACATTTTCAAATTGTTTTTTAAACTATAAAATACAATAACCTTCTAATAATTATTTTATAACGCAAGAGTCTCTCAGACGCCACGCGAGTATCGATGTTACGAAAACTGGCAGTTTAAAATATATAATCTAAAGTATTACATAATAGATGACAAACATAAACTACAAAAATTAAAAAAATTAAAAAAAAATTCCGATGTATTATAATTGTATACAATTTAGTAAAGCAAGAAGGCACAAGTGTCAGTACAAAAGATAAATTAAAAGTAGTGCACCAACAATCAAAAATAAAACAATTTTAATAATATTCTTTATCAATTTTAATAATAATTCTTAAAAATATTTATATATATATATATTAGGGTGTCCCTTATTTTTATTTTTTTTACGCATACCCTCTAATTATATTTATTACGTGTTTATATACTCCCAGTAAAAATTTCAGCTCATTCTATAAACGGGAACCCGTGCCGACTTGCATCTGAACCCTCCGTTAGCCACGGTCGCGAGACCTTCGATCGTAAGTAATTTTGTGTTTGTTATTATGTGACCCTTATATTATAAATTATTGACAAATGTTAAAATATAGTTTTATTTATGTGTATACTTTGATAAAAATGTATATTTTCACAGGGAGTGGCTACTTACCCGGAAGGGTCTGCTGAATAGGCCGTAAACTCTGAAATTGATAAACTTAATGGGTTTTAATCTAAATAACTAAAAGAGTCTATTGTGAGAGATGACTACCGAAAACTTATTGAACTGTCTGAAATATTTTTGGGAGGACATCAAGAAAAGAAATGCTTATAAAAAGCTGAAATTTCATATAACAGTATATTTTAGCAATACTAATTAGTATATTAATATATTTAAGGGATAAAATCAACTAAATTAGTGAAACAAATGATAGAAACAAAAGCAATAATATTAATTAGTAATCATATTTAATAAAATCATTGGAAAAATACAGTCATGAAGTATATCTTCTTTTTAAAGTGTTTCGTGTTACAAAATACCGCGCGCGCCTAACGTTGGCTAACGATCGTTAGCCAACCCTCGAGGGTTTAGATGCAAGTCGGCACGGGTTCCCGTTTATAGAATGAGCTGAAATTTTTACTGGGAGTATATAAACAAGTAATAAATATAATTAGAGGGTATGCGTAAAAAAAATAAAAATAAGGGACACCCTAATATATATATATATATATATATATATATATATCTTATTGTTTTCTAAAAAGGCAAATTCTGCTTTTTATGCAAGCATTATAGATTGTAGGTGCGATGTAGCTAAAACAGCGTTGAAACCCAGTAGATAAATGCCTAAGCATAATTAAGTTGTTTTGTTTATAAACGTGCCTATTCTCCATATCTGCTGATAATTTTTTAAAAAGTACATTTTTATTTTTGGATTTGGTTTAAAGATAATATAAATATAAATACATAATGTATGTATTCTATAGATTTCATCAATATTACAAATGAGTCGTCTAGTTTCAAAAGCGGCCATCTCCAATTTTTTTTTTATAATAAATTATTTATTCTAATACAATTAAAATATTTCGTAGTATATTGGTGCAAAATTTTATCCGAACAAAACGGCTATTTCTAAGGAAAATAATTCATAAGTTTTATGTTAGTTTAAATAGCGGCCATCTCCATTGATGTTTTAATTACAAAAATGCACTTAAAATACCCATCTTCCTTTACAATATATGTTTTTTAATTAAAACTTAAACCTGGTTACTTATTTTGTAGAAACAATATTTTCAGTTACCGTATGAACAAGTTTTTCAAAATATATTTATTACTGTTTAGAATTTGTGTTTGTCCTATTGTGTATTAGTCCTTCGGAGGGGACTTTAAGCCCGCGGTCCGTTCCTACCCCTAACCCGCACAAGCCATTCAGTTGGCTTATGGGACTTCTTAAGAAGTAAGGGTGGAACTAAAAGAGCACTTTTGTATATAACTTTTTTTTGCCGTTTACTTAAAATAATATTTATAGGAGATGTCCGCTTTTAAAATTAGACGACTCAAATATGTAATTATCTTTTAAATGTAAATATTGTTTTTAAAACAGTTAAACTTTATTATACAAAACTATTTTTATTTATTTACCTGTCAAGCTTTGTAAATGAATCTTTACGGGCGAGCTGGAATCCAGTGAGCCTAGTAAAGATTAATTGCAAAGTGTGACACGTACAAACTTTTATTTTCACCTTTAGACAACGATTTTTAAATTTAAAATTTAAATTAATATGAAATTTGACATTTCATTACATAAATTGCTTTTCTACAAGCCTATAAAACTTTACAGGTCTGATAGAATAAGGTTTATTTTTTACAAAAGTGGAGTGAAATGTTTGTCCTTGGCACTTTAAGGCCTCAAGTGATTCTGTAAGAAACACAACGTAAAAAACAATTTTTAATCTGTATAAACAACACAAACCCAAAGCACAAGAATTGTAAACAACATAAAATCGTCGCCGTTCAAGTCTGTGCAGTGTTGCAGTGATTTTTAGTATGCGCGAAACAAGATAGACCTTGTTGTGTGAATTGTGACTTGAGCGAAATATGCCGTATTCCAAACTTGTATCAGAGTATACTATTATCAATTAAGTCAATATAGTCACGGGCCAAAGTTAGCTTTATTATAAATTGAGAAAAAGTGATAACAGTTGACATGTCAAATTTTTAATAAATAAAATTGGATTTAAATTCTGTTTTGTGTTTCTCGTAGATAAAGTAACGAATGCAACTCGTTTTTATTAAACACTCGCTCGCAAGCTTCGCGCGTGCTTAATTAAACTCGTAACTAAAATGGCTTTTATAAAACTTAATACATAATATACTATTAAAATTTTAAAATTGCTCTAAACTTACAAATAGCTTGACTCGCACTCACACTTGTCCTCATCTAATTTTGAGTTGGTTAAAAATGACACCAAACAATATAAATGAAACATTATTGTAAACACATAAACAAGTATAAATTGACACTCAACTAAATTGTAGCTGATCATTTTAATTTAATAAAAAAATATAAAAAAATAGGAAAAGTTGAAGTCAAAACGAAATTCTTGTCAAATTTAACCTTAAATAACTTTTGATGGAGTGAATTTAGCCAAAAATGTTAAGAGGCTTTTTTTGTAAAGCATTTGATTTCACATAAGAATATTTATCGGTTTTTTAACCTTTTTTGTAGAGCATTTAATTTTCTTAAAAAAATATTTTTAAGTAAATTTTGTTAAACTCAATGGTTTGTTCTGTGACAAAAACTTGATGAGGGAAAAAAATTAAAATTGCGATGATAGACCCTAATATTAATATTATGGACTCAAACTTTCACAATATTTTTTTCGATATACTTTTCAAAAAAAAATTGTTGATTTTTTTGGCCCAGTCTACTGCACATCATACAATGGTGGCCATTTTTGTTGTTTACAATTCTTGTGCTTTGGGTTTGTACAGATTAATAATCGTTTAAACTTTGTGTTTCTTACAGAGAGACTTGCAAGCCTTAAAAGAGACCTCAAAGTGGTAAGAAGAATCATTTTACTCCTCTTTTGTAAAAAATAAACCTTATTCTATCAGGGCTGTCAAATGTCAATTTGAAGGTTAATTTGTGGGTTATAAAATAACCTTAAATTAAACTTCAAATTGACAAGTTGACAAATGTTTTATGAGGAAAAGTGAAACCAGGATATCGACATGCTCTCAAAGTGCTATTAAATTTCTTCAAAACTGTCGCCTTGGACTTAGGTCTGAACAGACAGGAGAGTCAATACACAGAGAGTATTGAGATAGATACAAAATAAATATCTTAAATGACCCTGATTACCCGAAAAGACTGAAAAAAACTTCTTCTGAGTTTTCTTCAAAACATTTGTAGATAAAATCAGCTTCAATTTAGTCGAATTTACATTTACATTTTTTGGTGTCATTTTCAATAAACCCAAAATTAGTTGAAGACAAGTGTGCACTCTCCCCATCTTCGCAGTTTATGTGACCTATTACACGTAGGTAGTTTCTTGGGTCAGTTTGGCCCTGTTCGTTAATTTTAATCACGGGTTAATCAAAATTGGGTAGGCTTTATAGATATTACCAAATTCGTTAAAACTTTAATAAACTGAAAACAGAATATGATGGTAAATATGTAATTAAGATAAAAAAAATTACAACACCTTTTTAGGTGGCCCCACATAAAAAATTATCTGTGATTAGTGAGTAATGAAACTTTAAATAAATAAATTAACTGCATCCTTCGAAAAAAAAATGATAAAAGAATTAAATGATTCTTAAATTAAAATTTTGCACAAAATGCATTTTGCAAGTATACTCCTCCATTAATTCTTCGATTAAAATCTACTACTATTGGTTGATGTTAAAATAAAAGAAAAATGGCCATGAGAAAAATCTGCAATCTATGTCACAGGCAACATAATTTTTGTCAGGGTTTTTAAGTCCAAGAGTGTATATTTATTTTAATAATACCAAACAAGGAGGGTAAATTCTGTGGATTATGTGGTTGTTCTATAAATATTAATTAACGGAATATATTTCCCTTCTTGACGGCACTTACCTAACATGCAGTGATGGATGGAAGGCGGCAGGGTTATCCTGTTGCGAGAACCTAGGCAGTGAGCCCTGCAAAATCGCAAGGCGGATGGCCAGCAATACGCCGAGCTGCAACACGAGAAATTTAAAATTTTAATACGGTAGATCAATCTTGACCAAAAATTCAGTAAAAGTTACTAAAAAGTACGGCCGCAGGAATGCCGCTTTGGTGCTGCGGTATGGCTTTCGCTTTGTCTAACTTGGTATTTTTTTTAGTGATTGATGAGGTCAACTTGTTTTGTCAATAATAAAGTTGGTTAAATTGTTTTTTTATAAAATTATTTTTGTTTAGTGTTTAATAATACATTTTGAACTGGAATGCACAGAGCTAAATAAATAAAAATATTGACTTTATCATTTAAATTTCCTCTGCAGCGGCTATAAAATTCAATTAAACAATACAAAAAGCGAAATGCGCTCCGCTATTCGTGCTTTATTTGATTAAATAATTAACAAAAAATTTATACGATTTAGTTTAATATAATTGTCAGAACCATTTAATATCTTTGCCAATTGGCATTAATGTTAAAAAATGTTTAATTTAATTTTAATTCTTTAAAATAAACAGGAGAAGTTGCAGAAACCAAACTTTAGAAGAATATTCTACAATATGACAGGCAAAATGAATTGGACAAAATTTGATAAAGTTGTTCCAATTTTAAGCAAAACAACTTTTAAAAGGTATAATTTTGTGCCGGTTTTTTTGGTTTAGTTCAAGATTTCGAGATACGCATGAAAAAAATTCAATGTTATAGAACAATATATCACAAAATTTAATATGTAAAATTGATCCCAAATCATTATAGTTGCAATGAAGGGAAGTGCAATACAAATTTTTAAGAATTCAAGAATCAAATCAGTAGTTTGGTCGCCATGGCCAAAAACAGGTTAAAAAAATTAAATTTTTCCTTTTTTTTTACTTTTAAGAAATATATTATACATATTGTAACCATACTTTACGTATCGGATGAGGTTTAGATAGGTTGGGTGGGTGGTGGGTTAGTTAGATAGGAAACTTAGTATTAAAGTTTTGTTCTGTGACTACTGCGCCCTCCAGCTGGTGTGGTCAAAAAGAGATATTCAAATTATTTTTTAAAAGTTTATACTGGATTGTACTAATCCTTTTTTTACTCTCACTAGATAAATAATTGTAATATTAATCTAGAGCAAGTAAAAGGGGAATAATAAAACATAATAAAACTAAATTTTTGTAATTATTATTTTATTTGTCAAGTTAAAAAATGTATAAACAAAAATATTCAAAACACAACTTAATCAGTCTACATCATATAAACTTATCTAACTATTCCATTCATAATCTTATTATTCTATAAGTTAAACGATGTTTATAAATATAAGAACAATAAAAATTTTAAGACTTGGTGCTTAGAGAATCAACATATTCAACATATTTTTTGTTATTTGGGCAAAAATCTGGACACACCTTATCGTTTTTGGAAAATCGATAAATTTTTTCTCCTCTGCTTTTGCACTTTTGTACACAACAAGAATAAACCATAATAATAAATACACAGTACAAATTTAAAAGGTTATAAAGACTTCATAATTTTTTTTTCATTATATTGTTATTTTTTTTCACGCTACCCGGATTGATTACACTCAAGTGTTCCAACCTGCAAGGTAAATTAAAAGGCTCACAGAGTTCTCTGTTTTTTATGTTACAGGTGTTCAGGATAAAAGCTTTCTGCAATTCGAAAAGAAGTTTTTTATGTACTCCAAGGCTGTCAATATGGTTTTTCAGCTCCTTCAGTGGCTTCAATAATGATTAGAGCCGTTGCTATTTTAGCCTATATATGTGTAATATACATTGTATATATATATATATATATATATATATATATATATATTTATCTTCCGGGATCTGCTCCGTGTTGTCCGTTATTGATTCTTAAAAGAAACGTATGTCTAACGACGTTTCGGTACAATCTCATGTACCATCTTCAGGTCTTATCTGCTGGGCTGCTGTTGCTGCCGTGCTGCGAGTTAGTTATATATATATATATATATATCGTCACCGTTCTGGAAAAAGTCATTAACTCCATTTTTGTTTAAAAGTAGTTAACTACCTTCGCGATCATAGAACAATTATATCTGTGGTCTAGAAAAACTTATTAAGTGCAGTATTGTATTTTTAGCGTGCTAGCACTTTTTTATTATTAATAATTCTAACTGTACGTTTCTGTGTGACAAAAATGTTTCTCCTTTCTCCCCAAAAAATAATCCCGTACCTTAGCAGAGATTGGAAATTTGAGAAATACACTACCTTTAGTGTTGACTTATCAAGGTAATTTTTTAAAACTCGTAGTGAGTATGCTACCCCATTCAATTTGCTACATAAAAAATCTGTGTGAACACACCAATCTAGATGTTCATCTATATGTAATCCAAGAAATTTAGTCGCAGATGTAAAATTTATTCTATTTTGGTTTATTTTTGCACTAGCTGGAGTGGTCAATTGATCTTGAACTTTTTAAAACAGAATACAATTTGTTTTATCAGCATTTATTTTTAGCCTATTCATAAAAAAATACCTTTTAGTAGCTTCCATCAAATTTACAATCTCTGCCAGTACATCTGGGTAAGTTTGTCCACTTACAAGCAAGTTTGTGTCATCTGCAAAGTTGACCATGACCTGATTTTCACTAGAGACCACATTCTCAATATCATTTATGTAAATAAGAAACAAAAATGGCCCTATGGTGCTTCCCTGTGGGATCCCCAGACTTATGTGTTGTGTCTCAGAACCAAAACTTTTACCATCCTTGACCAATCTAACCCTTTGGCTTCTACCTGTCAAATAGGACTGTGTCCACCTCAATGCACAGCCTCTTACTCCATATTTTTCCAACTTTTTATATAGTATGTCGTGATTTAGACAATCATATGCCTTAGACAAATCAATAAATAGTCCCAGTGATAAGTATTTGTCTACAAAGTTGTCAAATATTTTTTGCAAAAAGCTGTCCACTGCTGTATCCACTGACCTACCCTTCAAGTAGCCGTGCTGATTTTGATTCAACAACTTGTTTGATGTAAAAAAAATTACCAATCTAGTACACATAACAGTGGAATTTTGGAAAAGGAAGATAGTAAGCTTATTGGTCTGTAATTGTTCATCAATTTAGGATCGCCTTTTTTGAATATTGGGCTAACAACAGCAGTCTTCAGTTGCTCAGGGAAGACACCATACTTCAAAGAGTTGCCTACAACTGTAAGCGTACACACCCCCCCCAGCAAAGAATCTGTAAAAAGTTACACCCCAAGTGATAAATGAAATATAACACCACGGCAAATGTTATATTAAATTACGACAAATAAATAAAATAAATACTTACGGTAATAAAGCTCATTAATTTAGTAACCCAAGGTACTTGTGAGGTGTTGTATTCAAGAGGAAAGTTTTTAAAAGGGATATAAAAATACTGTAAATAAAAGGCAATAAGTAACGTTTGAACTCAGGTCAAAACCCGGAAGGCTCCCGTTTATTTTTTTATTAGTATCGCTCATAAAACCTTCCAAAATGAGGGATTATGGGAGTGAGTTTCACGTATAAAATATTTACAATTTATAACAAACAATAATGATATTTATTTGGATAGAGCAACAAAAATAACCGCAACCCAAACGACATTTAACTTAGTTAACTCTGAAAGAAAAGGACCTCCTACAACCTCTTAAAAACCACACAATATCTCCTTACTGCGACTACAACCCAAATATAAATAAATATATAAATAACATTAGATAAATAATACATCATAGTAGAGCTTAGCTCTCGTTTTTAATTTTTAATTTTTATCTTCGCTTTTTGCTGATTTGTTTGTTTATTTGTTTGTTTGTTTGTTTGGTGAAAGTAGATTGAGTCTTAGTCTCTATTTTTGTATTTTAAATTTAACTTTATTCATCAAGCATTCCGTCTGCAATAGGCCTCCATCATCCAAATAAAGTTTTTATATTTATTTACTGTTGAATTTAAGTTTACTGTTACACAAATTTTCATGTAATATTTATTAGAGTTCAGGCTCAATCAACTGTTGGAAAAGGAGTAAATAATAATCGGCTTCGAGGTCATTCCAATTAAAGGTCCGCAATCGCCCGTTATGCCTCATTAGTCGGCAAACTTTAATAACTTAATAATTACCATAAAATACTAGGTAATAAATTGACCAAATCACAAAGGGCAATTTCTGCGTTGCGCATTCAGATGAATACAGACCTTTACACACCTCTTAAAATTTACAGGATAGAAATTCAAAATGGGCTTGTTGTGTCATGGACTCCACGGAAAGTGGATAAATCAAATGTCGTTATCGTACAATTACTGTTGCCACTCACTCCAAACGTAATACCAAATATTTAAAAATGACTGGTAAAATTCACTTAAATAATTACGGGACATAAATGTGAATCCGCGAGTACAATTTTATAAATCCCGTATTCAAGAAAATCGATATTAAATACACTTAATTTACACAGCGTTTATAGAAAATCCCCTATTGAAATATTTATTAAAAATAAATAAATAATCCTAAGTACTGCCCTGACATTTAGCTTAATTAAATCGAATACGGTCCTGCCTATTTTAATTGGATAAAATCCCCGTAAATTCTTGCTCATTTAATTTGATAATTACTCGTTAAAAATCCCTGCCTTTTATTAGATAAAATACACGTACCAATTGTTTATAACTTAGAATATAAATTATAATACGAAATACCCAGTTTTAAACGTAAATTTTACAGCGTGGTTTATTTTAAATGGCAGCCATTACAGCGTAATAGATCGAACGATGACGCCAAGTCAATTGATCGAATATTTATCTTTACACAAGGTGTTTGTGTAAACTAATTATACCAAAATGCTCGGGAATATTTATACTACAATAATTTAGTTATTTAAATGTACAAACCTACAAATTCCAACACTTTTCTGCACACACAATTTTTAAAACCCTGGTCGCTGCTCGGCTCTGCTCCAATGCTCGAATGAATGTTCTCCCCTGCCCGTCACTTGCGTCTTTCCCCCTACCTTTTCCCACTTAATCAGGA